ATTCCCAAATTTTACACAGGCCTCTGTATGTGTGTAGGTCTCTCTCTCCCTATGTTAACATTCTCACCATTTCCCCCTCCTTCTAGGTCTTTCCACTTCATTTTCTATCATTTTCTGTTTCCTTCCTCTGGTTCCTTTATCCCTAATTTCTGTTCTAAACATGGAATTAATTGATCACTCCATTTTGCTTTGCAATGATTCTCACTGGGCATGCAGAAAAATCCACATCTGAATCAATGTGAGAGATGGCTTTTTAAGCTTCCTGTTACTCAGACCCTTGAGAATCACAGCCACAGTTACTGTGCAGTGTGTGTGGAGCCCCTCAGCTAAGCAGAGGTAAAAAAATGTTGAGAACCACTGACTGGAAGGTTTTAGAAGGCATGGAAATGGCACTCACATTCTCTTCTCTTTGTTTTTATGATTAAACCCTCATGGAGATCTTTGACCCCAGGGCCTATCTCCACAGAACTCTTTCTATTTATGTATGCTCGGCAGCTCTGCAAATTACTTTCTAAATTGATTGTCGAATATGCTTAAGGCACATGCTTGACCAGGTCAAGAGGACTAGCATCTTTTTTTAAAGCTTGATCAATAAGAAAGGCTGGGCTATCTTTATATAATGCCACGGGGTCAAGTCCAAATTACATTTGCACATCCTGAGAGCTTTCCAAGCTCATACAAATGCCAGTGGCCTCTTGGGAGGGGGGATCACTCTGCTTCGTAGATTTATAGTCACATATCTACTGACCCCGGAAAGGAAGAAAGGATACCTCTTACATTCTGGGGAGGGTCTCTAGAGTGCTTACCACTGACCAGCAGCATCTTCAGGCAGAGAGACTTCTGGCTTCGTTCTTTTCACCCCCAAACACAATTTATTTATCAGTTTTTAAACTCACAAAGCATGAAATATTTCTTTGTATTCTGAGCTATTTTGCAATGTGTATTAAATTTAAAATGTAGGTTATCATTTTGAATAGATTTAATTTATATTAATTTATGTAAATAATACAGTTGAATATCTCTAAAAAGAATTTGCAATGTTTATATAACATTATTAATATAGATATTAACATTCAAAAATTACACATAAAGGAAAAATAAGCAAAGATGTTAGGAGACAGTCACAGTTGTCGTGACTGAGCTTTAGGATTAAATCTCAGCTTCCCAAGACCAAGGTAAAAAGATAGTGTGGTAATAATTCTCCTATGGTAAGAGGCAACATACTAAGAATTCACAGAAAGGAAGTATTTTTCTCATTGGAGTTCATTTTAAAAAAATATTATGTGGAACTTATACATGCAACTTAAGATAACCTAGTGGTAAGCTTTCCAACATATATTTATTGCAGACATGGACGCATTTTTCTTATGTTTATTTCTTAAAATAAATCTTTAACATAAGCCAGAAGTATAAAGTTTAAGTATAACTCAGTGGAAGTGTAGTTTCAGTGAAAGTAGTTTCAGAGTAGTTCAGGGATCTAGCTTTCTAGCATTTTAAAGCATAATTCCTGGACTGTTATTGTCTCCGCTGGGCTTTCTGAAAGCCATATAGGAGTTTGAATGGAAACAGCGAAAGATGAAATTTTGCCTCTAAGATGCTGACTTCCATCAGGTAAAGACCCATACGACTTTCATGTCTTTGATGAGGCAACAAAACATCTTTAATTCTTTATATGATTCATATTCTTTTGTTAAATTAAAATAGTTATTCAAAGAAACTACTATTCATTCAACAGTAGGAATCTACTGACTTGAAAAAAAGTATGTAGGTGTTTGTATGTATTTCTATTTCTGTTTAATCATTTAACACTTACCTGGTTAACTGAGCATTCTTCTCTCTGGTCTTTTGCTCCAAATGCTATTATTTCTTTAACTCACAGTAATGCAATAAGCATCAGTGTTCTGAGGTAGCCCGGTTGCCTTGATTTTTTTAAAGACTTTTAAAAGCAGTTTTATATTCACAGCAAAATTGAGGGAAAAGTACAGAGATTTTCCACATATTACCCACCTTCAGACATGCATATAGTTTCCCCATTATCGAATCCCCCACCAGGTGGTGCATTTGTTATAACAAATGAACCTACATCAACATATCATTTACATTATTACAGAGTCTGTAGTTTACATTAAGGTTCACTCTTAGTGTCATAAATCCTATGGGCTTGGACAAAGCCTTCTTGATTTTTGGTGATTGATTCATCATCATGATAGGTGGCAAGGAAACTGAAAGGTAGATTTTTTTAAAAGTATGTCAAATGGAACTTTAAATAAAATAAGACCGAACCTATCTTACTCTAGATGGTAAAGTGAAATGATCAGAACTGATCTATTTTTGTTAGTTTAGTTCATGGTGAAACCTTCACAGAACAGCTGATAAAAGAAGAAACCTTGATTAAAGAGCCGATTTACTGACACTTAAAAGTCTTCTCCAGTTTTCTCCTTTAAAAAAATCATAGAATAAATAGCACACAAATCTTCTGCATATGGTCAAAATGCAAATGAAGGCACAGGGTCACCCCCCGCAGGACGTGTGACCTCCATCCTGCTGCTAGGTTGGGTTTGCTCAGAGTAAGAGCCACAGAAGCCTCCCACAGGACTTTGTTATGGATGGATGTGCTTGTTGCCGAGTTGTGTCTCAAGTGAGGTATCTGGGAGCAGATGTGCATGATATAATGAAATATCCCATTATATATGGTGGTTTAGATGGAGTGTTCTAGAAGTCATTTCTAATCCATGAGTAACCATAAGCTATTTTACGGTCTGTCTTAGTCTTGTTCATATATTTTATAAGTCTTCTTAAGTTGAAATTATTTGATGTATAGTTGAATAGCTGTTAAGTACCATTTATGAAGCATTGTTTTATGATGCCGTGTTAGCCAGCTTGGGCTGCCGTAACAAACTACCATGGACTGGGTGGCTTAAACAACAGAAATTTATTTCTCTCAGTTCTGGAGGTTAGAAATTCTAGATCAAGGTCCCGCAGTGTTCAGTATCTGACAAGAGCTCTCTTCCTGCATTGCCTCTCTTCCGGATAGGCCGCTTTCTCACTGCAGTCCTCACGTGGCCTTCCCTCAGAGCCTGTCAAGAGAAAGAGAACTCTCTCACTGCATCCTCTTATAAGGCCACCTATCAATCCTGTCAGTGTAGGGCCACAGCCTTATGACCTCATTTAACCTTACTTCCTATAGGCCTTATTTCCAAATACAGTCGCGTCGAGTATTTAGGGCTCCAATATATGAAAATTTACGGGAACACAATTCATAGCAGATGCCAAAACAAAAGAATGTTGATATTTCTGTTGACCAAGAAAAAAGCAGGGAGTAAGCCTAAGGGATCTTGTCACTGATTGATGACCGTGGAGCTCTTTAACAGTGAGAGGCACTGTTACCCATCTGAACATGTGAGTTCTTTTACATACTAAAGATTCAGAGGTCCTTTCTAACCCTAAAATTAAATTTTTTTAATGTAATACCTATTTTTACGTAACCAATTCCAAATGCCCTTGATGTTTTTCTTTCATTACCTATTCTTTATATACCCAGGGTACCTCAGGGAAAGTATAGTAAAAGAATGTGGCTGGCCTGGGTTTGAATTCCAGCTTTTGTACTTACCATCTGGGGAGTCTTCAATTAATTAGGGTACCTCTTTGAGATTGCTATTTGTCTGCAAAATAATTAATGATACTTACCTTGGTGCATATATTAGTGAGAATACAGACTGTGGTACTGTATGTATGTTTTTAAAAACAACAATACAGTAGCTTAGATATGAGAGAAATGATAGGAATTCATCACATACAAATAATCCAGGGAATAGAGACCAGGGCTAGCAGGAGACTTCTGACAACTCCCTCGGCAGAAATTTTGATCTCAGGGTCAAAAGTGTCTGCTCCAGTTCTCATTACCTCCTTCTGATGGGACTGGAGAAAGGGTGAGGAGAACTCATTCTCTATAACTTTTAGGGATACCACCCCAAAGTGGAACAGGTAAATGCAGCCCATATTCCTTCCACTAGCACTTGAATGTGTGGCTTTTTCAAATAGGAAGATTGATTCAGAAGCATTGTCTCTAGCTAAATACTGTTTTACTAGCAATTTCTGCCTCAAATGGTTATTGTAAATGTTAGAAATCATTAGTTTATTGTTGATTAATTTATTCATTAATATTTATTAATGAAAATAATAGCAAAGTGCCTAACAAGGTGCCTTATACATGGTAAATACCTGGCACCTTACTACTCAGCATGGACCAAGGTCCAACAGCATCAGCATCACCTCGAAGCTTGTTAAAAATACAGAATCTCAGCCCCAAGCCACTGAATCAGAACCTGCATTTTAAAGTCTGGGAAGTTCTGTGCCAGCATGTTCTTTATCCTTTATGGCATCTGCTGAGATATGTTAGCTTGAGCACTTCCAATGTTGTGAGAATTAAGTGAGATAATATGTAATAAATACATAAAAATCTGTAAAGTACTTCATAACATTATTTCAGTGTACATGTATAAGGAGGAATAAAGTGAATCCTAAGTTATGGGAACGAAAAGATTTGAGAATCATTAGGTTTTTAGATTATGCAACCTTGATAATATTCCTTGATTTTGTAATGTCGTGTGAAAAAAGACTCATCTTTTTCCAGAAAAATGAGCTTAAATCGCCATGCACTGTCCTAGTTACAGAGCTTTACTGTTAATTTATAGGAAGTTGCTAGGCCCACTCTTCTAAACCGAGGGTTTTCAGTATATTTTTTTCATCACCATAGTTCTTTTCTGACATCTAAATATTTCAGCTTTTTATGTTCTTAATTATGTTACTATCCTTTCATTTGTGTGATGAATATACAGACTTTTGACATGAACAGAGAAATCTAAAAATGGTACCTAGGAAAATGGGGAAAAAAATGAACTAAAAAAATGATATTGAAGGCAAGAACCTGTCATAAACATCTCTTATCCTACTTCTTTTCCAAAACATGTAAAATATGTTTCTTTGTCAATTTTTTCCAGACCCCCTGGTTGTGGAATACAAAGCACTGCTGGTATAACTACCCCTATCAGGTAAGGAAACATTACTGTTTGGGTTTTTACACACATCGAGTATCTTCCTTAGGTCAGTTTCGTAGTTTTAGGCAGGTCTCAGCAGGTTGGGCAGCCACCTTACTTTTCAGCCCCCTGCCCCTGCTGCTGGGTGCTGGACGAAGCCTTGTAAGGAAAGTAGTTTGTGTTCTCAGTGAAATTCAGAATCAAAACTCAAGTGCTGTAGCAGATGGATAAGTATGGAAGGTGCATTTGCTGGAGAGTAGGATACAATCAGTTCAACAGGAGAATGATTCCTATTTCTAAAGACCTGATAACAGCACAGGCCTGTCTCAGTAACAAGTGGGGAGAGTTCAAGTGTGGAGCTGGAGCAGGCATGCTGAGTTCGGTTCACTCTCTGGCTTAGGAGCAGCCTCTAGATATGTAAATCAAACCATTTCCTTGAGCACAGAAAAATGTGCTTGTACCATTACACATAGATTAAAAATAAATAAATAAATGAGATTAAAATCATATCCCAGAAAGAGAACATGTCAGATTTCTGCCCACTGACATTCCTTTGCTTCTGTCCATCAATTCAGTAATATTAGCATGTGCTGTGGTCCCTAGATCAGTTACTATTTGAATATCAAAGCTGAGACTTTTCTAGAAATACCTTGCTGAAATTTTTCTAGAATTTCTAGTTCAATTGGGATATATTCTTTAAGAGAAATATATACAACTAGGTATTTTGGTGATAAAATAAAGAGACATACATTGTGATAGGCAACTTGGATTTTTGAGTTTGATTGGGATTCTTTTGGATTGTCTTTTTAGAGGCATTTGGTCTTTTTGGTGTGCATAAGGTTAATGGTGAGCAGGCATGCTCTCTGTCTTCTCTGTTACACCCAGTGTGGCACCAAGGGTGACGATGGGCGCCGTGGATGGGGACTAGCGTTGGCTGATCCTTGGGCATCCTTGGGCAAGTTCAAGCAAGACATGTTGAAATGGAATTCCAGTTTGCATTTCCATCTCTTTCATGTAGTTTATTCAGATTAGAAAATAACAAAAGTCAGCAACATGACATGGTTAGAGAGAGCTGAGTATCCGGGGCTGTTTGGCAGCCACTGAAGCAACACTGAAAGCCAGTCACTATTGAACATCATTGTAATGCTCAGACCCAACCGCTGTTTTACTACCTTAAATACTTGGAATATTGCCATTTATAGCTCTCTTTGTGTCTCGTCGTGGTAAAATTACAAGTAGAACAATTACTGAGTCGAAAAAATCCACAAAAATCTAGAATTCTATTTCTAAAAATACATCAAAGCCTTCTAGAAATCTTAACTCAAATGTTGGTGTGGCAGCTGCTCTTATACACTGCATTTCTGAGGTAAGTTCTGTCATGTGAATGACTGAGACAAATACTGTATGAAATGAAATATCCACTCTGCTTCATAACTATAATGGAGTCTGAAATAACTTTTACATTTATGGCTGAGAAATTGCTTATTTCTGAGAAAATTATTTGCTAGGGGCAGTGGCTCAAAATGTAGTTAGACTGATTTACAGACAGAACTGGAGATTCAACATAAAAATCTGAGGATCTGGTAGATATAGTTATGTTTAAAAATAGGAGGCATCATTAGTATAGAACTAAAGATACCATATGTAAAGACTCAGATCAAGATTATCTTCTACTGATAAGACGTCATTACTTATTAATGAATAATTGACATATAACTCCCAAAATTGAGGACCAGCTCATGATCTCTCATGGGAACAATGGTCATTCTTGATACACTTCATATACTAAAAAAAAAAAAAAAAATTAGCTACTTTCTTTTTGTGTATGGTGGGGGAAATGTAATTATGCATGTAATTACAGCGCTTTGTGAGTAACTATACCTACATAAATACATAGGATGCAGTTCAGAGTCAGTCTCAAGCCTTAAGAGCACTTTTAAAGATGGGGTATGAAACAGACATATGTCTTTAGTACATATATTAAATAATTGAATGATTTTTAGATGAAAGAGTAGTGGTCTATTTCAAATTTATTAAAGATACACTGCTCCTTGTGTATGAGGGTATATATTATATCACTTACTACATAGGTAATGATTTATACATATATGTGTACATATTTTAAGTTTAAAATAATGTAAAATTATCTTCAGTTGGCCCTTGTACAGCTTGTCCTAAAGAGCACAAGTGGGGAATGAGAAGCCCTAGCATGGCGATCACAGAGCCTCACTTTCTGTGGGTCCTGGGATCAGCCTCTCAGCCTGAATTAACTGACAGCAATTTCCTGTAATTATACAATCTAGAAAACGATAGTACTGATTTTATAGGATTTTTATGAGAGTCAAAGAGATTAACACATGCGTAAGCTTTGTCAACTGCAAAGCACTCCAAGAATATGGTACTTATTCTAATATGACACTCTCTTATGAACTCTACTGTTTCTACATGTGCTTTCACTTGTCCTCATAGTCCACTGTGACATTTTCCCAGGTGGTGTTACAAGAAGTAAGTGAATCTTATTAAAACTGAAATTTAATCTTAGCTCCGAGGGTCCTGAAGCCAGCTCCATTTTCTAGACTTCACTGCTACCATGCGTCTGACCTGAGTTCCCATCTCTCATTGCTAACATCTTCAAATTTAAAAAGACAATTCAGTGGAAAATACATTCTCTCCAGGATGCTGAGCTTGATAAACACATTGATGCTCAGAGCTTAGGGTTGATGATGGGGGAGTATCCTGTCCCCTTATGTGTTCTATTACCACAGATCAGTGAGTGGGACAAGAGTTTTCCTTGATGCCCATGCATAAAGTTGGTAGGATTGATAGTTAAGTGAGTACCAGCTTCTCATGAAAGTCATTTGTTATGCTCCTATTGATTTACAAAGCATTTAAATTTTTATTTATATTTGCCACATGTACTGTTACCTTGTGTGTTGCAGTGCAGATATGTTTATGTGAAGAGCTTCAACGGTCTTTCATTCATTCTGATAAAGCATGACATTTCATTGCAATTCAATAAAAAAAATAATAAAAACAACTCATTGGAAATGGTTTTCGAAAACACTATTGTTTTGTTTTGATGGATTTATGTGCGGAATAAATATTCCTGACTTCTGTTTCTCTGAACCTCTCCCCATTCCTGGACCTTTGAGGCAGATAGAGCAGGTATCACCTCCACTTTACAAATAAATAAACTAAGGCCTGCTAAGCTGTGGAGGTGGGATTTGATCTCAGATTTCCTGGCTGATTGCCTAGCCCGGTATCTCTTGGCAGCTTCCTTGTCCCTCTGATCTTTTAAAAATATTTTTGAATCATCTTTTTTTTTTTTTGATATTTGCATTGTACTGAAAGAAAGCTCTGATTAATGCAGATTTTGAAACTATTCCTCAGTGACTCATGTTATACTCCAGTTTCTATCACCTACCTCCCTTGTCCCTGCACTGTGGAATCTCACAGCAGTTATCCAGGGTTATTCTTTTTGTGTGTGTGTTAGAATTTTTTTTCTGGTTGCCTGAGGAATCTTGCAGATACTATGTCAGAGAACCATAAATGCTATTGTTAAAATGAATAGTGCATTTGGTACCAAGTGTTCATACTGACTGACCCTCTTTTGGTTGGAGATGAAACAAACTAATGCCATCAAGCTGAGGATTAGAGGCATCCTTCAAAGACCCCTTACACACAGAAAATGGGGCTGGAATTTGTGGAGGCATGAGATCATGCCACTTTTCAGCACTGAGCTTGAGATATTTGGGGCACCAATTGGGTTTCCTATTAACTATTAATCTTTCCTTTTTTCCTTTGATCCTCAGCCACTCACCGCTGACCTTCACTACTATTATATTCTGGAGCTGTCGTTTTATTGGTCTTTAATGTTTTCCCAGTTCACTGATATCAAAAGAAAGGTAAGTGTGGTTATTATCATAAAGTGCTTGCAGACATGCATCTTTAATGGCTCCTGGAAGATGGGTATAGAGTCTCCAAGGCGCTTGCCTTTATTCTCCCAGCAGTACTAGGTTAGTACTGCTTTCTGCTTTAGTACATAAAGTTCTGTATTTTTGTTTGCACTGTTTTGTATTATGTTTCCATTGTCTCTTAACTCTTCCCTAGTGTTCTTATCTCCATGAAAATATATAGCAGTGAATCCCAACAGCAGTGATTTCTTCTCAGTCTGATTCAGAAGTCCCTTCATTCTCTAAATTAAATTAAAAAGAAAGATTTTATTTGTAGCTCCTGGGAGAGAGTAAGATCTCAGCATTCTAGCCCTCCAGAATGAATTTCCTCTCAATATAAGGGCTATCTAGCATTAAAATATGTCACGAAAATACATTCCTAAATGAACCGTGATCTGATTTTCACGCCTACCCTCCGCTAGAGTAGTTTTGCGGAAGGCACCTTGACCTCCTAAATGTTAAACCCACTCATTCTAGTTCTCATCCTACCAGCTTCTGGGCAGAGTTGGCACTTTTAGCTATTCACTGCTTATTTCTTTCCACGATGCCATTTTCTCCAGCTTTCCATATTTAGATAGTTCCTTCAAAGTCGCACTTGCTGGCCTTCATCTCAGGGCCCCACGTTCTGCATATTTGTGTACTCCAGCGTCTGGTCCTGAATTAGAGATTGCCATCTCCCTGGATGATCGAGTTTATACCTTCCAGCACTTCCAAACATAACTAGTGTGCTGATTACTCTCAAATGTTTCTCTTCTGCCCAAGACCCTCTCTGATCCATACTTTCACAAATCTAGTCATAAATAATACACTTAAGTTCCTCTTACTTATTTTATCATTTAATCCTCAGCACACTCTAAGATCACTTATTATTTATCCTCACTTTATGAAAGAGGAAACTGAGCCTCCTATACAAAGCGTTCCCAACCAAAGACATCCTTCTCCTTTAGTCTTGTTCTTCCTCCAATCATCCTTGTAACCAACAGTCATAAAAGCTGGTAGTTTTCCTTTTCTCGCCTCTTTGCCTCTCCTTGCACCTTCTTCCTAAGTATCGCTGACATATTTAGTTTGAGTCCTCTCTACTTTTGCCTTCCATATTACAATAGCCTCCTAAATTGTCTTCCTATCTAAATAATCATTCTTGTCTACCTGCTACCTAAGAATTATGTTTCTAAAATCTTCAAGACAAAGCCAAACTATTTGGAGTGATATTCAGGGTTGTAAAGAACATGATTCAAACCCACTTCTCCAGCCTTATCACCCGCACCCATCTCTCCTCCTTCTGGCACGTGTCTTGGCTTCAAATACCTTCTAGCTTTTGTCTAAACACATTAAGTTTTTCCATGCATCTTATTATTTGTTTACAAGACTCTGCCTGTAGCTAGAATATACCCTATTCCACCCTCCTTCCAGAGCAGACCTATCCCAGAAGTAACTTCCTCTTTGAAGCCTTATTCAGTGACCCACTCCTTCCTCTGTGTTTTTGACCACTCTTTCGTCTGTATTTAGTCTACAAGTGCCTGAACTTACCATGCTGTATTTTAACAGTATCGTTACCTGCCTCTCTTCCTTCACTAGACTTGGAGGGCAAAGAATAGGATATGTTCATCCTTATTTATTTATTTTTTTGATATTTTTGCTCACATCTCTTTTTTTATTACTATATGGTTACTTATTTTTAAGTCTTTTTTTAAATTACAGTTGACATACAATATTATATTAATTTCATGTATACAACATAGTGATTAGATATTTATATAACTTATGAAGTGATCACCCTGATAAGTCTAGTACTCCTCTGACATCATACATAATTATTACAGTATTATTAACTATATCCCCCATGCTGTACTTTACATCCCCATGACAGGATATGTTCATCTTTATACCTCTCATGACTGTCAATGCAATTGCTTGAGATGGGACTTAGTAAGTTTAGACTGAATGAATAAATGAACTCATCAGAATGTCTTCTGACTTACTAAGGAATATCTTCCAAGCTCCTTTGCAAACAGGACTGTACTTTATGATGAAGCACAATACTATAACATTTCTTGGTTAGACCAATAATCTGCTAAATTGCAAAGTGGTATTCAAGTGGCAGCTGGAAAACATTTAGAAGTCTATGGCCCTAGTACCTGTATCTCCTTTTCCCAGGTACACTCCTTCCACCATCCCATAGCAGTGGTTTACTTGTTTGGCAAAAACTATCTATCCTGATCTGTATGGCTGAATAGCGGTAATATGGTATAAGTCGTCTGATTCTCAGAAGTGGGCAGTCCTTGTAAGGGCAAGGGATTAGGCATAGCCGATAACTCATTGACACCCATAATTTGTGGTTCCCTAACTCATTGTACCAAACACTCTGAGTCAGTTTCTGGAAAGATGTAAAGATCCTTCGGTGACAGTGTGCCAGTTAGATCTCCTATGTCTTACATGAGGAGCCTTGTTCATTTATGTTGTCAGTACTTGAAGTCTGATTATCTCCTGTGAGCCACACTCATTGTGTAGTTTACTTATTTATTTTTTTAATCTTTAATTGCTGTAAAAATGCAAAACATAAAATTTATCATCTTAACTGTTTTTAAGTGTACACTTCAGTACCGTTACACACATTCACACTGTTGTGCAACCGGTTCCCAGAACTCTTTTCATCTTGCAAAACTGAAACTCCACACCCATTAAACAACTCTCTATTCTACCCTTCCCCCCAGCCCTTGGCAACCACAATTTTACTTTCTGTCTCTATGAATTTAACTACTCTTGTGTACCTCAAATAATTGGAATTATATCGTGTTTGTCCTTTTGTTCATCCGTGTCCTCAGGTTCATCCATGTTGTAACATATGTCAAAGTTTCCTTCCTTTTTAAGGCTGAATAATATGCACTTTATTCCAGGTAGTCACATAAAACACATGTATAACAAAGAAGGTGGTTTGAGTATTCTTCCAATTTTGTAGTTGAGAAAATTGATGTACAGTAAGTTAATATAAGTATTTCAAGGTTGTGCAGTGTGGGGATGAATTACAGCACAAGTTTACAAAGCAAAGGCCTACGATTCACTCTTAAGTTCGACATATACACAGTTGTTGCATTGTCTTGCCATGCTCCTGACATTAGAGGTAGTAGTAAGCTTTTTGTAGCTCTTTACCATTTTATTGTTTCCTCTTTTGCTTAGTGAGAATTAGGGGTACCATCTAGAGTCAAAGAGATGAATAAAAGCAAGACCAACTGTCTTTGATGCCCAGGAGTCTAGTCCTAGGGAGACATGGCTATACCAAAAGTCACCAAGCCCCCCTCCACTCACTTGAACTTTCTCATCACCGTGCCTTTTCAGTGAGCCAAGAGGACTCAGAATCTTCATGGTTTCAGGCCAAATGACCATTATCTTAATAATTATCATATGTGGATTATTTCTAAGGGTTGGAGTGTATCATTTTGTGTGGATTTGACATATCTAACATCAGTGTAGAAAACATCTGTAAAAAGGGCAATTTTGCAGTGAGGTTCATGGAATTGATCTCAGCCCTGTACATGTTGTCAAATTTTAGAAATTAATTATACATTTTTTTCTTAGTCAACACCAGTAGTTTATTTTAGACATCTGGCACCTCTCCTTTTTCAGTTGGTGGTATAGCTGGCTTATTCTTATTTCTTGTGTAGAATGAGAATTGGCCATTGCCAGACCTTGTGTGTTACACAGCACAGGTTTTAGTAAGGAAGGCCTTTTTCTCTGTTTCCATCTCTCATCAGTGAGTCGTAGTCCTTCCTTTTCTCCTTTGCATCTTACTGTCACTACAGGTCCTTGGTGGTTCCCTCCTTGTTGCTCTACCACTTAGAGGATCTGCCATTCCAGCCATCAGCTAGAATGTTCTGTCTTCAAAATACACTCCCTACCTTCTATATTGCAGCTATTAACTAAACTCTCTAAAAACAGCCTAATTATGGAATAGAAATATTTGAAGACACCCATTGACAGCACAGTATGGAAATCAACTTCTGAAGGCTATTCATAGAGTTGTTAACACAAAGGTTATAAAACTATGTCTTTAGTTTCCCAATTAAGTGACAGTGAGCTTGAATGGCCACTTTCAAATATGGACCAGAGTTTATAAACTTTTAAAATCAGTACCTTAAATGAGATTTAGAAATCATTGTTTTGTGACTTAATGGGTTCATGAGTCTTTCTAAAATGGTTTCTTTCTTCACAAACTCTTCACTTCTAAAAGTGTCCTAATATTGCCTTTTTGTTTAAATTGTTCTGTTTCCAAATGGAATCTGGAGTTTAAAACTGAGAAGAGAACCTTTCATTCCTCTGGTGACAGAGCACATTGCCTCTCTCTTGATCATTTCCAGGGTTGTTACTTATTTGGTTAGTGAAAAGATATTAATCTTCCCAGAGAGAAAGGACTAGCCAAGATGTAGTCATTTGTTATAATGGACTTATAATTTAAATGTTCTACTATGTGCTACCAAGATATGTAAACCTTTATGAGGATTTTTTTCTTCCTTGCTTATTTTTTTATTGTTTCTTTCCTTCATTCCTCTTTACTTCTCTCCCTTCCTCTCTTCCTGTCTTTCTTCTCTCTTTTGTGAAAAGAAATTGTTATAGTATCTTATTAAAACAATAAGTATGTTATTGGTATTCAACAATGTTTGAAACATCTATTTCCCAAGGCTTAATTTTTGTTAAAATTCTGTTTTTTTAAGCACCTGTTCTCCTGCACATCTAAATTTTCTAAGGGAAACTAGTAGATATGACTGTCAGAACAAGCAAAGTCAGAACAGCTTCCTTGTATCTAAGCCCTATGTCCCTTTTAACCAAGCTGCTGTTTGATTTGAAGACTTGGGCCCTTGGACAGAGAGCTGGGCTCATGTACAGAGTCCTTTGCAGGAAATCATCCATGGCCAAGTTCCAAGGCCCAGCTAGTGAAATCAGCTTGTTGTTCTTCTGGT